CCCTCTGCGCCGCCCCATTCGTAGGATGCCAGCCCACAGCCCCATCAGCGCCGCTCGGGCAAGATATTTGCTCCACGAGGAAAAACCAGTGAACCTTAGACGATCGACAAACAACGTTAAAACAGAATCTGTTAATTATTATTCCTACTGCAGCAAGTCGCTATTGCTGTACCCTACGTCTCCCGGATGCTGTCCTACCTCGGAGGTCAGATTGACCGCAACACCCCCAACGGGTTCCGTCGCCCAAGCTCTTAGTTTCTTCCCACTAGTTCAAATCTGGAAGAAGGCATAAAAATGAGCACATAGGAGTATTGCATGCAGCCGCGTGAGGCGTTGCGGGCTGTTGCTTAACGCATGCCATTCCGCAGCCGGCTGCTCATGTGCAGCTCTCCAGTGCAGTAGCAGATTCTCCAGAACGCTTCTTCGTGTGGGACGTTAGTTGGAGCTGGCTACGGAATGAACGTCAAGTGGATGAAAGCTGAGTCGGCAACGCAAGCGTAGGAATATCGGCCAACGCGACTATTAACTTCAAGGCGTCTGTTTGCAACAGCTAAACTGTCTGCGAGCCGAAAAGCCCTGCTAATGCCTGCCACGGTTTGTTTTAGCGGATTTTCTTCTGTGTACTGTGGCTATTGAGAAGGGTCTTCCTTGCACGTATGCCATTTTTGTGCTTCGCTAGTGGGCAGTAAGTATAGCTGGCCGAATTTTTTTTTTGCCTTTTAGTTAGAGCGTCAATGGCGTCTCTGCTTCCGCTTTCACGCCCAGCCCTTCCTGAGGATAAGCTTCTGAAGCCCGGTTCAGAACGGCTCCACCCTCCTGCAGATGCGGCCTGGGGGGACCGCCGTGGTGGAGCTAGAAACGCGTCGAGTTGGTTTTCACGTGGGCCCTTGTTTTCGAATGAAATAGATGTAGATGACGATGACGACGAGGACAGCTGGTGCTGCTGTGAGCCTTTGAACAGCACGGAAAGGATCTTGGGCTGGCTCACGTGCTTCTTAGGAGGGCTCATCCTTTCGGCGGTGTCGATGGGTGAGCCGCGCCGTAGTGTTGCTGTTTCCTTTGTTCAGGCGCACTTCTAGTGATAGCACATATGAATGCTGTCGAAGTAACGACATGTACGAAATCGCAGTTGCTTTGCGAATCCCTTGGCTAGCAAGAAAACGGAGGCATGCCGACTTTCAGTAGCATTGACTTGCTTCTCTCGGCCTGATATGCGTCGGTTATGCGTGCATGCTTGTAGCAGCGGGTGTTTTATTGTATGCTCCTCGATACATTTGGTGTTTTTCACTCAGGTTCCTTCAATGACATGTTGCTGGGGAAAAACAATAAATTTGCTGTCACGTACACCATTGGCAACATCATTGGATTGTTAGGGACATCGTTTCTCGTCGGTCCGATTCAGCAGTTTCGGAACATGGCTGACAAATCACGCTTCGTGACGAGCTGCATCTTTGTCGGCAGCTTAGTGGCAACGT